AAATAATACAACTTGTAATTGTTAGACCTCTTTCAGGCATTTCTGCATTTTTTCCAATTACATAAGGATTTACAGATTTAGTTATAATATACTTTGACAGATCGGACATTGATACGGTCTAAAAGGCGTATAGGTAATGTAACGAAATCTCACTAGTTAGGCCGTGATCGAGAGGTCTAATTACTCATGGACATTATATGGTAGATCGTGACAGTGACAGCTGGTAATGTCTTGACAACATTGTTATTGATTGACAGTATGTATTATTATTTAATTAAAATAGGTTACACAGAAGTAGAAAATTATTTAGAATTAAAATAGGGTATGGAGAAGAATTTTGCTCTATTTTAATTCCTATAATATTTCAATTTTCTACTTCTGTGTAACCCATTTTAATTAAATAATAATACAAACTGTCAAACAATGACATTAGCTGTCACTGTCACGGCCTACCATATAATATTGTCCATGAGTAATTAGGCCTCTCACAGCCTAATTAGTGATATTTAGTTAGAATACCTATACGCATTTTGGACCATATCAATGTAAATCCTTACGTAATTGGAAAAAGTCAGAAATGCATGAAAAAGGTTTAATAATTACAAGATGTCTTATTTTCTTAATAAAAAAAATTTTCTTTTCGTTTTTTAATAGTATCTCGCTTATTGTTAGCGATGGATCCAACAAAATCTACATGACTATGTTCGACAGGGAAGGTTCTATCCAAGTATGTAAACATATACAGGGTGTTCCATTTAACTTAACAAAGTTAACATCTGCGGCCATTTTGTTTGGACTTGATTTGTTTTTCTACTATCATTTTCGAAAAATTCATAAAAACTCGTGCAACTTTTATATTTAACATTTTTTATAACTCTTAAAACAAAAAAGTTAAAGGGGGGTTCAAAATATAGTGAATCACCCTGTACACTTAATTTTTTAACTAGTCCCATAAACAGTAATCTAGTGCTGTGAGGTCTGGAGATCTTGGAGGCTAACTCCACTATAAGAAAAAAAAAATTGGGCTTATTTTCACTCAATTTTTCTCAATAATGTATCACCCGATTGAGTGAAATTTTACTTTATTAGTATGAGTAAAATTTTATGAGTGAAACTATTAGTTTTCGTTCAAATATTATCAAAAATGTCTAAAAATTATTAAAATACCGGATATTTACCAAAAATGTACTCAATAATTTCACTCAATGGATTCACTCACATTCACAAAATAAGAAACTTACACATATACATTCTACGATTTTTTTTTCTCGTAGGCCCTTCAATAAACGTAAAAATTAATTAATTAATTAGTTAACAAATTTAACAAGGTAGATGCGATCGCGGTCCGTTCGGGGCTGAGCTGATCGCGGTCTTTTACAAAATCAGTCACATTTGGCAATCGTACACAAACAATCCTGCTCGCGCCCTTCTTTAAATATGTAGTTGAGGTATTGTTGTAGTAGTTAAAAAAATGAGTTATATGGAAGAGGAAGCTCGTCTCGATCGCATCACGGTCTCAGGAGATTTTTTGAAAAAGATCGGTGGAGAACGCGATGCGAGCGAAACGAGCTCGGGAATGTCTAGTGCGAATGCGTACATTATAAAACATGGGAAGGAAGTCCACCGCGCGCGATCGAGACTAGTACGGTTCGCGATGCGACAGGACAGCGACCGCCTTATGCGTCTTCTCCTTAAGGAGGTTTATCGGGTTCGGAGGTACGTCTAAAGTCTAACGAAAGTTTCTGTAGATTCGCTAGTGACTAAAGTAGTAAGCCTTTAGATTTGACAACGTTGCACTTGGCTGGAGCGCTAGGCTCGGCGTTCGCTCGCTCCCGTTCGATCATTCTGTTTGTTTGGACACCTGCGAATTTCAAATAATACGCTACGTCGAGACCGCTGCGTTGCCGCTATCACGCATATGGGGGATAAGTTAGTCAATGACATCAGTTTGAAGGAGAATTATTATAAATTATGTATTTTACAAGTACCTAATCGATTTCTACAAGCTGACATACGGTTCCTTAGATATTGCGGTTTCCTATTTATACAAGTTGCTGTGGAAATTGTTCGTTAATTGTTGCGCATTCTAAGTGGAAAGACCAAAACATTCTGCATTCTCATAAGACTCTGTACTAAATCGTGAAAAATTATTTTATTAATATCTCGTCTCTTAGGTATCCAAACTAGTCATAATTTTTTTTGATTCATATTAATAAGCTTATATTAATTTTTTTATGAATATTTGTTCGTCAATTCCAAATCAGACAAACCTCCTTAAAAGTACAAATAAATATTTAAAATATTAAACTTACCTATTCCAAAATTGTCAGAAGAGATAAAAATAAAACGTTTCACACACGGGAATGAACAATCAAACTTCTGCCTTCATTAAAACATAACTAACAAATGCGAAGACATAAACGCACCATACAAAGGGATACATGTTTCGATACTTGTATTGATATACTTATAGATTTCACGATATAATGGTTTCAGGGAAATTTCATCGGTATGAACTGGTGGTGATACAGGTTGAAGTAACACGTTCGGCCAGAGATACCTTAAATTTTTGTTTCAATCATGCACTGCAAAAATGCATTAATAATTTTTCGCTTACACGTTAAATTAACAGAAAAAGATACTTACTTATGCCTAATTTTACTAAATTCGGGAAAATTGCCTGGAATATAACAAAATGATTGTGAAACTTTAAATATAAATTTTCCAAAATATAATATATATTTCTTTTAATTTTATAAAACGTCATATAATTCAGCTAACAAAATGACGGGCAATATTAAGGAAAATTGCATTGATGAATATTACCTACATTGAAAATGTTCAGTTTTATTTTTTAGTGTAAAATTGCATAATGACATAATTCTCATAGGCATACTTATTTTCTTTTTGTGTCAAGTAACCTTTTACTGTAAAGTTATTTTTTTTTACTTGGTGCAATGTAGCATTTTTGGAAACGAATTGAGTAATAAGAACATGTTTATGCTTTTGCATTTCATATTTTCTTCTGATGTTGTCAAAACACTGGCACATCATTGTTATTAAGAATTTGGAATTTAAATCTTTAAATTTTGAAAACATTTAACTTAACAGTTATCTTGAATTTTGCAACTGGTTTCAAAATCCAAGTGCAGCGGATCCCAACTTTATTATCAAAGTGCTACAAACGAATCAGAGTGTTTTTTGCCGTATTTTGCCATTCATTTTCAATAGGTCGGTATGTACATACTACTCTTTGAAAAGCAATAAGTCACACAATAAAGTATACGCACTATAAACTGAATTATAAAATAATTAAAAAACAGTGAAAACGTTAACAATATTAAAATACTAAATATTAAAAAAAATTATCTAACATTCGAAAACAATTATTATCCTTATACATTTATTTTTATTAACAAATATAATACTTGTTGTGGTCAGGGGCGGTCTGAAAAGGGGTTTAAATAATGATTTGGAAATATGTATTTATTTCTTTAGCGTAAATATTATGCGTTTTAAGTTTTTTTAATCGTAGGTATTCTACCTACGCCCTATCTTCCTTTAAAATTATTGCCATTACTACTGAATCACCCTGTATAAAAAAATAACATTTTAAGGATTTTATTTTAATATTATATACTGAAACCAAGCTATTCTGTACTATTTAAAATAAAAATTTGGTATATTTTGATGGAAACTAAGTAGATATGTTAAATTCCAAGATTATTCTGTAATACCTAAAAAGGGAGATATTCTGGTAGTACGTACATACCTAATACAAAGTTTACAGTTGTTAATGATTAAACAATTTTCTATCTTCTGGTAGTACGTACATACCTACATACAAAGTTTACAGTTGTTAATGATTAAACAATTTTCTATCTGTTTGTCACGTCTTAGATTTCTTCTTGTTTTGAGAGATACATCGCTTCTTTCTTCAGAAGAAATTCTAAAACTATCGATTAAGTCCCCTGGCTGGTATTTATATTTACCATATGTCCTGATCCATGGCGTTGAGGTGCATCGTACTTGATCGTTTCAAAATTCCAAGTTGTTCTAACCCCTTATTCCAATTCTTCTGGATTTCTATTGTCTTTATGTAGTTTTGGTCAAAATCTTGTCTCTCTCACCATCAGAATTATGGTATCAATTAGATCTGTCGCGTACCCTGCCCTTTTCTCTGCATCTGATAATTTTTCTATGTTTTTATTCTTTGATTTGATTGACAATCGAATTTGCCATGAAAATCGAGCTCGCGAACGTGGTGTCAGATTTATCATATCTTTAGTAGTTTCTGAGAATCCTGAAATCCCATCGAAAATCGACCAGCCTGTACACTCCCCATATATATGGAATTCTGTATACACTGAAGATCTTTATTACAGCTCTTCTTCGGAAAAGCTAACCCAATCTTCCTTGACATGTTATGTCATAATATTGTGTTTCTTTAAGATGTGGCGTATGTAGCTAGGGCAGATAGGTCGTTGCTAGATATACCTCTTTTTCCTTATCCTTGGGTATTCTTCTGTTGATTATTTAGCATTCCTGTTTGCGTCAAATTTCCTCTAAGAGCAAATCGTGAGAGCTATAGTCCCTTATCCGGCTCGCAGATAGCACGTGCTGGATGTACTAATGTGTAATGTGTTCTTAGCTGGGTAATGACGAGACTCATCGTTCAGATACCTATTCGTATGGGTTGGCTCTCTGTAAACACTGCCTTAGTGTGCATCCGTTTTTCTCTCTTAACACATATAGGAACGGCAGGCTATAATTTTCTTTCACGGACATCAAATATTTCAAATAAATCTTAAAACAAAGTAATAAAATAAATATATGAAACGACCTGTTACCATTTCTTGGGTTCCACTTCCAATATCCATAAAACAATATTTTCCTTATTTTGTTAGGCCAGGGTTGTCATCACATACGGCTTATTTTTGCATATTTAATAGATCACACAAATTTTAATTTGATTTCTAAATCAAAGCATTTATTTTCAGGGGATGAAGTATCTACATTCGACTCCGATCCGCGTCCATGGATTTCTTTCGTCGAGAAATTGTGTAATCGACGCCCGATGGGTCCTTAAAGTAACTGATTATGGACTTCCTGCCTTTTACGAAGCTCAGGGTATCCAGCCACCGACGAAAACCGCANAAAATAACCAAAGTGTAGATGCAACCTTAAAACATGATTGTTTTAAAGAAATTGATTTGTTTTACATTATAATTTACTATGTTTTAATACATTATATTATATGTTTAAATTTAGGATGTATCTTTGATTCTAATACATTTTCTGAACATAAAATAGAATTGTTCCAAATACAAGAGTAATACTGAAATAAAGATATATGATCAAATTAAATAAATACTTCTTCATAAGAAACAATTGCTTTTAAAGAAATTTGTAGTTTATTATTAAAGATACGTTTTTATGTGTGTAGTTGAACAAAATGCTCTATTGGATTTTACTGGACAATACTTATACCTTTACTGCTAACCACGTTGATCTGAATCTACAATTTGAAATTATTTTTATGTTCGTGATCTCTTACTAAAAAAAATATAAATCTATATAAAAAAAATAAATGATGTTCGTTCGAAAGCGTATCACTTGAGAACGGCTGGACCGATTTGGCAATTTTTTTAATATTCGTAGTGGTCCGAATAAGGTTTTTAGGGTTTCTTTCCCTAATTGGAAAAGTTAACCAGAAAATTGGAAAAATCGGGAAAAACTGAAAGTATTTTTTTCTATAGGATTTTTGTATGAACTTATACCATACTGAATACCATAATTCACGATTCGAACGATGGTATGAGTAATAATTTTTTTGTTTTGTTCGTTATGGTTCTGGAAAAGTTCAGGAAAAAAAGTCGAGATAATTACAAACGAAAGTTGGATAATTTTTCTATGCACTCTCGATCATAACTGACGATAAGAAAGTCATATTTGGTTGATTCTTTTTTGTGTTGATGGAAATAACTCCGGGCTAACGTATATCAAATTTCCTATTGGCGTAGGTTCTTCTGAATGTACTCCTCGAATTGAATAACCATGGCCACAATCGTTAATAGACACGACGATCACTCAGAAAAACGCTTTTTTCTCATTTTTACTTTGTTTACACATTTTTTTTCACAAATTCACAAAACGATCACAAATTTATTGAAATTACAATATTATGCAATAGTTTTCAAAGTGTTTCTGTAGGATGTCAGTCCAATCAATGGATATATTCTTCTAATGCACTTTACTTGTTTTGATGTAGTGAAAGGTGTCGCCTATAAGAACCCAATCATTTTTTATTGCTTCTCGAAATAATCGCAGGAAGTTTTCCAAATAAAACTGCTCAGTCGTTGTTTGTGGGACAATTACGAGTAGGACCAGCTATGTTCGCGTATCAAGAAAAGACAATATGGCTAAAAAGTGTACACCTACATCCTTTTTTTGAAATTAAGCCTGTAAGGATTACTTTGTCTTTAAGTTAATGAAAATCCTTTGTTATTTCTACTATATCAGGTAATTCCTAGTAGATTCTGTCACATTCCATTAATTCCTTAGTAAAGCCTCCTACTTCCCAGTAGTATGCAGTTGAGTAAATATAAATTACAAATCCTTATACATCATTTGCATATTTTTACTTACACTCACCAACATTTTCAGAATTTTGTTGTCATTTTGTTTAAATATTTTCTTAACGTAAAATTCAGTGATAGTGTTTGGAAGACATCCGATTTAATAACTCTTGTTTACATTTGTGTCAGGTAATGAAACAAAAAAACTCGATTTTACTCCAAAACTGTATGTCCTACCGAAGTTTAAGAGTACCTCCCGTTTATAATTTTTAGAATAATTATTTATTATTTAGGATCTACTATTTTAACATAAAAATATAGGTTTTAATAGTGAAATAGTAGATCCTTAAAATTTTATTTATCTGTTCGGAGGTATGGAATAAAACCTCTGCTGCTCTCTGTAGCTCTCTTAACAAGCTTTTTTTATTGAACTTTTTTTTCTTATTTGAAGATAGAATCTAGTGAATAAGTTTAGCAAGCATTATAGGTAAGTGTATCTACAAAAAAAACACTATAAAAAATTAAAACTGAACAAGTAGGTCAAAGAAAATTAAAAAAAGTACCTACAAGAAGAATATATTCAACAGACATAAATATTCTTATGTAATATACAGGATGATTTCACTTTAAATATAGAAACTACAGGAATAAATTTATTACCAAAAAATAAGTAGAGTTTGTTCTATAAACTTTTTTCCTGGGGGACGCAGTATTCAAGATATAGTGTTTTCAAAAAGTTTACAAAAAAATTATATTTTCTGTTATATGATCATAATGCGATGACGGAATTGAATGAAATTTACTACAGCGTATACATTTAATTAGACCTTTTATTGAATGTATTGTTAACTGTAACCAGTGTCGTGCTAATAAAGGAGCCGCCCCATTTTCTCAAGAAAAAAATATGCCACTGGCGGTTTTTTCTAGACATAAGGTTACATTCAATAAAAGGTGTGAATACGCTGTTGGAAATTTGATTCAATTCCGTCAGGGCATTATGAAGATATGACAGAAAATATAATTTTTTTTATGAACTTTAGCCCTTATATCTCGAATAGCGCGTCTCTAAGGAAAAAAGTTTCTATAGCAAACTCTACTTGTTTTTCAGCAATTAATTTATTCCTGCAGTTTCTGTATTTAAAGAGAAATCACCTTATATATTGAATATAGTACGATTAAATACAGGGTGTTTCAGAAATAAGTGTTTTCTTGCAAGAAGGGCGTGAAAGTAAACAATTTTCATTAAGCAACATGTCATGTGTTCCACAAAATTAATCAAGAATTATTAAGCGAAACTTAGGCCGACCCTACATCGCCTCACTTAATTAATTGACTAAATTGTTTACAATGCAGTAACTAGATATGTCTTGCTTGCTTTCATCGACTGTAGATTGATTTATTTCAAAATGTCTTGTGTATGCAAATCGTTATCTTCAAAGACTATGACCCAATTTCAAAATGCTGATCAAAAATTGCGGGCCACCGCTAGAGTAAACTCAACATATGAGGGATGTGGACAAGAATGACCGCAATATGTCTTAAATTGGAACATTTTACACCTTGTCGAGAAATACCCCAGCGCGATATTGCACGTCAATTGGATGTTTCAAATACTACGGTGTAGGGTGTGTTACGGAAGCAATTACTACATACTCATCAAGTACAACGTCTGCAGGCTATGACTGTAGAATTTTGCCGCTTGTTTGGAGTTCCCAAGAAATATCCTTCCTGAATTATTAGTTGAAGTTCCGTTACGTACGCATGCAAACATAGTTTTTCATGAAGGATCGTGCTCCTCCGCATGTCTTTCCGACTGTTTATGACTTTTTACATAGCGCGTAGTCCTGATAAGATATAAACTATAGATTTTTTCGTTAAGGGAAGTATGAAAAACAAAGCGCGTCGAATGTTATTCTCGACACCGTGGTCTTCAACAGTTTATTTTGGCTACCGCCGATGAAATAAGATGCCTGGAGGCACGCATGCGAGATGACTTTCTCGACCGGTTAGAAGCATGTTTATTAGCTCATGGAAATGATGAAAGGTTGAAGATAATCTTTTACGGTTTTGGATGGACCATTTCCAATTAAAAATTTTGTTTTCTCAGACAGATCGGTTTCGAATTTATTTCGAATTTACATAAACCGTTTTAGCTGTTTGGATGCCTATACAGGCTGTTACAAATTCCCTTCTCACTACAGGGATCTCGGAAACGGTAAGAGGTACGAAGTAGCTTAAATGGGGGCAAAGTTGCGTAATCAGGGGCCCAACATTATGCCTCTAAAAAATCAAGGCTAACATGATTAGTTTTCGAAATATTTGAAAAAAACCCGAAATTTTGGAAATCCGTTTTTATTTAATTTCAGCCTTATTTGAAGCGAAAAAAGAAGAACACTTTCTCATGGGCTCGAATTAAAATAAAACATTATTAGAGTTTTATTTCCGTGTCCATAGTTATTTCTAGGCTTCTCGAGTGCTCAAAATTCAAACAAATTCCGATCTATTTTTTTTTTCATGAAATTCATACGAACACATTTGACATGCTCTTTCACAGTTGCAGTTACAGATAATATTACGCTGATCTTTATTTTTAACCTTTGCCAAACCGAAAATGTTTTTGAACATTTACTGAAATTTTTTAAAGAATAATATTCAGTTGGCGTTTTGGTTGATCATATGCATTTTTAAGAATTAATTTGTTATAATAAAATTAAAATTGTAATATCTAATTTTTCAATTTTGACGCAACAATTTATTGAGTTATGTATGACCAAGTGATGGTAATAGTTAATAATAATACCTAAATGTTTTATTGTAACGCGTGGTGGTAATAGTTTAAACAACTAGATGGATTTCGCAGGGTCTAACGACACTTACAGTGTACGATAATTCAATAAACAAAGAAATCTAAATAAAAAATTGAGATAAATTTGGAACGAATACACTGAAGATGAATTTTTCGAGATAAAACGTCTGAATCTGGATCGGGCTGAGGCAGTACAGTATTGGGGGCCATGAAGGCTTGCAAAAAATGTAATAAAATTTCTAGGGTCGTATTTAAAAAAATGAAGTTGATGATGGCCCTCAAGAGACGAAACGTTACATACAAAAATTGATTATGCCATTCGATAGAGGGCAAAAAGTGGCCTTGAGAAAGTGTTGTTCTTTTTTCAATATCACCTCAAACAAGGCTGAAATGAAACAGAAACGGATTTCCAAAATTTCGTTTTTTTTTTCAAATATTTCGAAAACTAATCATGTCAGCCTTGATTTTTTAGAGGCATAATGTTGGTCTCCTGATTACGCAACTTTGCCCACATTTAAACTATTTCGTAGTTCTTACCATTTCCGAGATTCCTGTAGTGATAAGCGAATTTGCAACAGCCTGTATACAGACATGTTTTTGGTAAGGGTGAGACGTAATCTATAAAATGTAATATCTTAAATATAAATGCTACTTAATTACGACTTTACTACTATTATCTACTATAGTTAATGCTTGCAAAGCATTGCATTAAACCTACTGATAGAAAGTGAGCCACTAATCTGTAGGCACTATGGAAGCTTAATTAGGCGGAAGAGGTATAAACT